ATAAGATGGCTGGTTCTTTTCTCGCTCAAAGGTTAAAGTATAGCTTCAGCGGGTAGGAAACATAGCCGGCGTCCTTGGCACTATACCGGAGGTAGATTGGTTTTAGATTTAATTTTGTATATTTTTGTATTATGTAAATTAAAGTATTAACAATAAAAAAAAATCCAATCCACTTTTAATTCATTAACTGGATTCAATTATGTCACAGTTTAATTTTTATTATATAACTTGCTTTGCTTGGTAGAGACGTCGTAAAAGAATCAATTAGGTACCTCACAGCCGTGGTAGCTCAGATGGTTAGCGCTCGCTGTAAGTTTCACAGTACGAGAACAAGTGCCAATGAAATTGTTAATTGCAATTTTAAGTGCTGATTTACCACGTGCTCGACAGTGAAGGAAAACATCGTGGGGAAGCCTGCATGTCTGAGAAATAAAAAAAAATATTTGGAAGACATGTGAAATTCGCCAACACGCATTGGGGCAGCTCGCGGCGGACACTTCCTTGCCCTAAAAACCCTCTCAGAAATGAGAGGAGGCTTGTGCCCAGCAGTGGGACGTACATAGGCTGTAACTTTAGGTACCCCATATCACCCTGTGTGTGTCGTAAGAGACAACAAAGGAAAATGAAACAGAAGATAGGCGTTAGCGTCTTCCTGATAACAACTTAAAGCTAATAATAAACTGCGGTTGTCAACCCGCCTGCCAAGAGACTATGGCAAATATTTCCTCCTAATTAAGGTAATCTTATAACGGAGACATTTTATAAGCTTTAATGAATTAATAAATGAATGTGAAGGGCTTCAAATCTAGAACCAAACTAATCTCAATTCGAGTGTATGTTTTTTTCGTACGTATGTTACGTGATATATTCGCAGATTGTGAACCAATTTTAATTATTCTTTTTTTATTAAATAGGTTATATTTCAAAGGTGGTCCGGTATAAATTTGGAGAAAATATTTCACACCTAAGGGTAACAAATAAATAACTTCTTTTTTAACAATTTGCAGTCAGTTTTTACTTTTTGTTTTATATAGGATAAGGGTTGTTAAAAGTTTAAATAAAGTAGTGAGTTACAGAATGGCTTGACAATTAGATCGATTTTGATTTTAACGTATTTGAAACACGCAGCTATACCTACTGTTGTAAATAACAGCAAGGAACTGGTTTTTGTTTAAATTTTATCGCAGACCTTAACAAATTTGCGTGTAGCTTATCACATCTTTCATCACTTTCTAACAACAGTGGAAATACAAATATACCTACCTACGTTAAAACGACAAGCGAGGGGAGTGTACCTTCTATTTTCGGCGCCGCATTTCAGTTTCAGTGTAAATCCCGCGTGAGGGCGCGTCGGCCGACATATCTGACTATCGCGCCAATATTTCCCTTTTCCGCAATAATAAAAATCCATATTTTTTTAACATAGTATGGCTTCGACTACATTAACAGTTGATAGCACTCACACATCTGTATCTGGAATTAATATAAAAGTAAGTTAATTTTGTTAACGTAAAATTCTTAGGACATTCTTAGTGTTTTCGTTTTGCGACAATTCTAACTTAGCAAGTACGCCAATCAACTATTGTTCTTGCCTGTGTTAGTACTTAGTAGTTGAATCACAAAAGTTATTATTTAGTGAATTTGAAACGTGTAAAGTAATCCACAATTAAATTATATACACAAATTTATTAAAATACTTATCATATACAATTATTCTAATTTACGCAGTCGTATTTATTATTGACGCTATTTATAAAGATTCACATTCCACACATGTGCCTTGTGATTTTTTATTATTGGCGCTAAGTTGCGAGTCTTGTTTTGATGATTCGTTTTAGATGCGCACGGCCACGTAATATTTATAGCAGGCATCTTATAATTTTTAAGTATGAAGTAAACCGGTGTCCAAATCCAATTGTATTAAAACCATTGCCAGCATGTCAGTCATTTTAAGACGTTTGATGGCGGGTAAGTTTTAAGAAGCCTAAGTGATTTCGAAACTCACATGATATGAAGGTTTTTTATTTATTAACTTCTACCCGCGTTGAAACAGAACGCTGTCATGTTCAGTTAACACCATATTATCTTAATTCAAGGCATACTCTTATTAATAAAACTATGCTTACGGATTTTATCGCGTTTAATTTACTTATATTTGATTCCCTACGTTTCGGATGTTTTACGGCAACCTATGGTCACGGGGGGACTGAGATGTTTGACATCCCGATGTCATAGACCGGCTACCTTCAGTTTTTAATGAGTATTAATTTTTAGTTCGATCTACGCAGACTCTTCTATTTTCGAGATGTTAATGCTGTTAGCTTATGATAGCTCGCAGCTCTTATAGTTTCATTTGTCATAGGGTTCTATTTAGGCCGCGAGCTACTTGATTTACGCAGAATGAGCTTACAGTATCTTGAATACTCTGTTTGACATGACAGATTTTGCGTAAAAGGTTCACAAACATCCAAACAACCTCATAAACTTAATACACATTTGTATGGATGTTTTGTAGTTAATTTTGTTGTTCATATTCATCTTAAGCTAGTAAATAGCACATTGTGATATGAGCTTTCCTCCAAGTTATAAACTTATGAAACAAGTGAATTAACTATCCTGTGGATGTTGTTTTGACATTTTTCGAAGACGACCTTTATTACTACATGGTACAGCCACGCTCGGGCTATTTATTAGTTAGAGCACGAATGAATAGCCTCGACTGATGAAGGACTAGATGTAGGTGTCTATGCGTCACAGCATGCACTTACTATCACAGTCCACCACTGTGCGCTCGTTTATCACCCTAATTCCAGAAAATAAAACTACGACAATCATACCATCCCATAGTCTATTAAAAGTCCACTGCTAAACTTAGGTCTCCCTCCTCCCCCGCATAAATAATAAAATAAAATAAATAAATAAAATGTAATTCTTTGTAGTGACACACAATATTGACGATTGTATACCTTACATCGCACCTCACAACGTTATATTCTTGATAATGTTAAAAATAGCGATGCGCGATTGAGTATTCCTAAATATTCGAATACAACGGCTCATTCTGCCGACTTCCAAAAAGGAGACGGTACTCAATTTGACTGTATGTTTTTTTATGTGTGTTACCTTATAACTTTTTATTGGGTGAACCGATTTCGATGATTCTTTTTTTATTTGAAAGCTGGTACTTCTCGTGTGGTCCCATATGACTTTGATCAAGGTCAGACAAATCGTTTTTGAGTTATTCTTAATAACTCATATTGAAGTCGGCTGTACAAATTTTTTAATTTTAAATTATATTTTTTATTTTATTACTCTAATCGCATCGTGAAATACCTAGTTTTATTTTTACCTGATAGTAAGTTGCTACTGCAGCCCATGGACACCTGCAGCCAACTTCAAGGCTACAAATGCGTTTTCACGTCTGAGAACTAAGAAGAAAGCACCTCTGAGGCTAATATGAATTGCCTCAAAGCCTGTAATTATAATGTTTCTATAGTCTATACCCTTCAGATCTGAACACAGCCATGCACGCACTGCTATCCACAGTCATATGCACCACCTGGTACCTACTCATTTTAAGAAGTAATAAAATATAAAATAACTATTTGCAATAATCAACCAGGAACCATTACGAATTATTTCTTATATTTACGCGAACACTACACATTGAATGAAACTACTTGTACGGATTCTATCGCGTTTAATTAAATTGTTTTTTATTGATTCCCGATTTCAGTCCCTCGTGACCATGGGTGCTGTAAAGTACCCGAAGCGTCGGGAATCAATAAAAAAAATTAATTAAACGCGATAGAATCCGTAAAAATAGTTTTATTCATTACAAATTAGTTAAAAAATGAGAAAAATATTGACTGTCTCGACTGCTCAAGAGTTTTTCGAAAGTATTTGTTGTTCCAAGTTATTGAAGCCCGTCGGCATCACTAATAAAAATTTTACGTTCACGAATAATCGAATGATTTTATTCGTATCATCGATATATTATTTGCTTTTTTTTTCTAAAAAAAAGTTACACTAAGATTTTCTCGTCAGAAATTACATATTGACAAACATCCAAACCTGGAATAATTATTTGTGGGTATACAAACACTTATTCCTTGCCGCGTTTAAACCCACGGTTTGCAGCGCCGTAACCAAACGCTTAACGATTGCGCCACCAAGATATAAATCGTATCGCTAGTAGCGAAAATCATAACAATGATAACTAACCGCTGAATCTAAATGACAGGGTGAGAAATTGTATGATAAGAGAAGAGTGTGCTTTGCAAGATGATGTTGTAACCAGGATTTCGGTGGTTTGGTCATGTAGAAAGAATGAATGAGGAAAGAGTGACAAAGCAAATTTATGTTGCAGCAATTTATGGTGAACGGCAGAGTTGAGAAGGGACGCCCTAGGCGAAAGTTAATCGACCAAATTGGCGATATATTGAAAATGGGCCAAATTAAGGGTACCTTCAACCGACAAGCATATATGCCTAGGTATATGGACGTGGAGGAAGCGAGAGAGGTATGTCAGGATCGTATATGAGTGTTTATGTATGTATGTAAACTAACCACAATACAAATGTACATTAGACTGTAAGTGCTATATCTTAAGCTAGTAATCCACTAAGTAAATAACTGCAAGTCCTTGTGAGAGGTATCAGGTACAACATTAAATCAAGTGCAAAAATTGAAAATTTTGTACAACCGACTTCAATATAAATAATTCAGAATAACTCAAAACTATTGGTCAGACCTTGTTTAAATTTATATGGGACCACACGAGAAGCACCAGATTTCAAATAAAAAAAGAATCATCGAAATCGATTCACCTAGAAAAAAGTTCTGAGGTAACACGTGTGGCGGCCCTTTTCCTTTCACCGGCTACACACGCATAAAATATAAAGTCGAATAGAGAACCTTCTCCTTTTTTGAAGTCGGATGAAAAATAAACGTTAGTTAAATAGATTTAAGATTAAACTTTCCGATATTTTTCATTACAGAGCTCACAAAACCGACTCCTAATCAAGAATGGTCGGGTCGTCAACGAGGATGGCATGGAAGACGCCGACGTGTACGTCGAGGATGGAATCATCAAGTGAGTTCTTAAAAACAATGTGACCGATGCAAGATATCGACAGTGAGTTGTGTTTTAAAAAGGCTTTCGTGTAGTCGACTTATTTGCTATCGGTATTTTTATTTACGGCCTCTTTTAAGACTACGTCAATTTAAGAAATTCTTATAGTTGTGCTCTCTCGATCTCTCTCTCACTTAACGACAATAATTGACAGACAATATACAGTTGTAAAGATAATTAATACTTTATTAGAGTAAGCGATAATCAACGAATATAAATAATGCACTTATTCTATACTTTACACCAAAATTCAGAATTTTGAGTTGAAGAACAATTTCAAATATGTACAACAGGCGATCTTATCACTTTGAAAATGATGTCTTCCGGACGTCCTTTGCGTAGAGAACTGATGCAAACAAAAATAAAAGTAGAGCGTGTGCGAAAACATCTATAAATATTCTAGCTGTTCCCCGCAACTTCGCCTGTGTTCAATTTAGGATTTTAATTTATTTTGCGCGGCATCCTAATTATTTATCTAAAATAAAAGTAGCCTACGTTAGTCCTTATAACATCAGCTATCTCCCAGTGAAAGTTTCGTCAAAATCGGTCCAGCCATTTCTGAGATTAGCCGGAACAAACAGACAGACAAAAATTTAATAATTTGTGTTTTTTTATAAGTACCGTATACACTTTCATATGTATTAGGTAAAAGTCTGTTATTTTGATATTACAAACAGACATTTCAATTTTATTTATTTGTATTATAGATTATATAGTATATACCTTCCTTTCCATCTTGTTATCTTGATGAATACAAAATATAACGGTCAAGGTATAGAAACGAAAAAGTAGTAAATATATATATATATATTATCGTTCTGAATAACACGGATGCAAAGATACTAAGGAAGGAGGAAAAGTGCGCACAGTTCGACGGCTCCGTGGCGCTGTGGCTTAGAAATGAGTTGTGGCCCTGGGGGTCGCGGCTTTGAATCCCGCACGGAACAAGTATTTGTATGACCTACAATAATTGTTCCGGGTCTGAATGTTTGTCCTTGTGAAATCTATGTATTTAACTGCCTCCACAATACAAGAGAATGAGAGAAAGAGATGTGGGGGTAACGTTTTTTTTTTAAACAAATGTTTAGTATTCTTTATTTCTTCTTACACTACCCATATGATAATCATTTAATTCTCTTCATAAAACCTGTGCAGCCCATAAAAATCCACTACTAGACAGGTCCCTTTCCTGTTGAAGGGATGAACTTCCGATCGCAGGCCATCTGTCGGAAACCATTACATTTTTCTTTGCATTCTCATAGTCTGGACTTGAATATTATTTTATTTTTATCGCATTGCACATTTTAACATATAAATTATTAAAACGTATATCGACTAACACACTTAGAATATTTATAGTGGTAACTTTAGAGATTTATTAATATGACATCCCTGAGATTTGTTCCACCTTCACAGTTTTTGATAAAATTCCCTCAAAGTCGTTTATTACAGGTGTTTTTGTATATCCTCGTTATTCTTATATACTCTGATGATGCCGGGAGACGAAAGTGACGAAATCGGTCGGTTATATAATTAGTATAATAATAATTTAAACGAAATATTGTGAAACTAGTGCAATAGTATTTGATCTAAATCACAAAAATGCTCATAGTCACCACTTATGTCACCCACGGGACGAAAATGGCTTGTCGATTTTCATATGCTATTCCGGTGTTCCAGTTGTACCAGTCACCCTTTTATTCTAATCTGTCACCACACTCATTTAATATGGGTTTATTTTGGATAAGCACAGCTATATCGAATGGTTGTTTTTATCCTCCATTCCAGTCATGTCATACATATGTATACATAATTCTCAAGAGTTTATGATATAAAAAAATACGTTATGAAATATTTTTAAACTTTTTAACCTGTTATTCAAATTTGTAATTTAAATTAATTCTAGAAAATTAATAGGATATTTTATGAACTTGTTGTAAAGGACGTTACCATTTCATTTGCTTTAAATATCGATGATATGGAATACTTTTAAGCACACGTTTATATTCGCTGTTATTACCTTGTAGAAGAAGAAAAACAAAAGTCACTACATAAAAATCTTGCTCAATTTAATGTTAGCTGCCAGTCGAGGCGGACACTTCCTTTCGTTAAAAACCCTCTCAGAAATGAGTAAAGGCCTGTGCCCAGCAATTAAACGTTAAAAAGCTGTAAATAAAATAAATAAAAAATTATTATAACTTAGCTGACATTATTAACTATAATTGTTGAGTTGAGAGTATAGTAAAGTAAAGTGCGCATTGCCAGTGATGACTTACGGATCTGAGACGTGGTCCTTCACTGTTGGCCGTATGAGGTCGCTCAGTGAGCTATGGAGAGGGCTGTACTCGGAGTTTCTCTGTGTGAACTTAGAAAAGAGGATATCAGCAGTAGAACCAGAGTGACCAACATATCCCAACGGATAAGTAAGCTGAATTGGCCATATAGATCGAGAACCGAGAACCGATGAGGAAAAAGGTTCTCGAGTGGCAGCCTCATACCGGTAGGCGAAGTGTAGGGCGACCCCCCACTAGATGGAGAGACAACCTGGTAAGACACAGGAAGTCGATGGATGCAGGTGGCTCAGGACCTTGCTTTGTAGCATTCCTTGGGGGAGGCCTATATTCAGTAGTGGACTTGTGAAGGGCTGTGATTATGATGTATATTTGATATCTGTGTTTTATGTATTAATGTGCTGTTGAAAGTGTAATACAGCCTGTTTAATATACAAACCTAAGGATTTAATGAATTTTAAGTTGAATTTCGACCATAAAGCTACCACTAGTATAACTAATTACATAATCTTGAATGTCAAAATCGAAGCTTTTCATCTCCTAACAGCAATATAGTTTATACTTTAAATACTCTGCTTTCGTAAAACTCATTTTCGAGTTGTCGAATCAATACTAGGGAGACTGCGAGACTCACGCAGACGCAAACAGTTTACCAGCATCACTTTTCGCATGATTTTAACTTACTGTATTCTCAACCTTATTATTCACTACAATACGGTCCTATATAAATACATATGGAAAAATGACGTCGTCTAGAGCAATGACCTCGTATCTTACATTGTTGAAAATGTGAATTAAAATTATTTTTAGCCAATTTCAAAAAAGTAGGTTGTCGGTGGGGAAGAAAAATGTTCACCCCTAAGGGTGGAAAATTAGATTTAGACGAATTTCAAGCATTTTGGGTATCGAAAAAGGTTTTTTTTTATTAAGACTGTAGTCCTTGAGCGTGGGAACTTCTAATAGAACACCTACATAGATATTTTCTAATCACACAGACGCATCGCGCAATGTTATTATACGCACCCTGGACATGAATAAATTACTTTTGGTGCTTCGCGCAAGTTACATATTCATCACGCGTTCATCGTCTCTAATGTCATAAAAACACGCATTGTATGTAGTCATTTGCAATTTATTGTGTCATTTGCTTGTCGCCTAGCGAAGTCCGCAAGCTCTTCTTCATGACCGCCCTCATAAGGTATATAAATTACACATATAATAAACTAGCTGTGCCCCGCGGTTTCACCCGCGTCATCACGTGTCCGAGGTGCGCGACATGACCTAGTTCAAGCATTTTATAACGGCTAGGGTTTAAGTGTCGTTCACGCGCCCAGCCAAGTATTGAATTATTTTAATTTTACATTATCTCTTAAACTATGCGTCCAAATAACAGTATAAAGAACAAAGTTTATGTTCATAAAATTGTCTTGATGATGAAGTAACTTTCGTTCGTAAGGATAAATAGGCCATGCCTAATAATAACGCTCATAAATCACTTTTAAATTTTCAATATTTTTTTGTCACAAAATACCAAATTATGGCTTATGTATAAGAAATAGACATATGGTATCGCGGACTTTTTTTTAGACGGAGTAATGGTCTATATTTTTCTAGAACATTGTATTTACGTATTCCTAACGATAACACCAGCGTACGCGGATAAATCATTTCGGGAGTGCTTTTTCTTCTGACTTGCTTAACAAATATCCATATTTAAGGCTAGCTGAGTAATATATCTTAACGCTAGATAGCCTATACTATTCCACATGAATCTGGCTATAATATACAAAAGAATTTTTCAAATCGGACTGGTAGTTCCAGAGATTAGCGCGTTTAAACAAACAAAAAAATAAAAAAACTCTTCCGCGTTATTATATTAGTATAGACATTAAAAGCGGACTTCAAAGATATAAAAAGAATCAAATAATTTCCACATTCTAGCTTCAGAAGTCGGGGCTTTATACTTCTATAAATTACGTTTAATACCGACTTTTGAACTTGACTTTTGTGTGGAAATAACTTTATTTCTTTTAGATTCATGAAGTCTGATTAACTCTTTGTTAAAAGAAAAGCCTAATATTTTAATTTTTAATAATTATCTTTCAGTTTATTTGCCCGAGTTCTTTTAAATATATAGAATGAGGGTGACAAACGGTCACACAGTCCACCTGATGGTAAATGAATGATTGGGCCTATAGATTACATTGAATCAATATGCAGATGCAGATGTCACCCCTGAGGACTAACATGGAATGCATCGTTTCCTGTAAAAAGGGTCTCCGTTTCTTTACACTTACCATACGAAACACAGCAACATTAAGCTGCTACTTTACGCTGGTATTCTGTGAGAGCGTGGTCCTTCCCTGCTCGAGCCGACCCATTCGTGCTACAAGCATAATATAGCTGCAGCGTGGCTCTACCACTGAAAAAAGTAAAACATAGCTAAAATATGTTTGTATGCAGTTTCTATTAACATGAAATTTTTATTATAAAACGTGTAATACTAAATGTTGTAGCACGAATAGGTTTGTTCGAGCGAAAAAGCATCACGTTGTGAGAGAATACTAGAGTAAAATAGCATCTCAATATCTCAATGCTGCTGTGTTTCGTATGGTGAGTGTAAAGAACCGGAGACCCTTTTTACTGGTAATGAGACATGATGTCTTAGTC